ACACAAGCACTGCAATACAGCAAGATTTGTTGAATAATCGATGTGATAACAGAGAACTAAATGATGAACAGAGATTGTATACAGCATTGATATGCTGATCAAAGGAATTATTCATAATTTAAAATTCATGAATTGTTCACATCTGGAATTTTCCATTTAATATTGTATTTTTGGACCGTGGGTGACCATGGGTAGCTGAAACTGGGGAAAGTGAAATCATGAAAAAGGGAGGGACTACTGTATAAAGAAGAATTCTCAGGTTCTAGGGATGAAATGGGTATTTTTTTGGTGACATTATTCAGCCTGCCACAACATCTAAGTCCATCTTTTAATCTCATGTGTTTATACAAAACACACATCTATACTAATAAAAGGGTAATATGCAAATTGGTCACAACACCCTCACAGTGACAACCAAACAGCAGGCTGCGTGGGGCGACCAGGCCAGCAGGGGGGTTAGTGAGGGACGACCAAACAACTGACCAGTAAGCTGCATGGGGCAACCATGTCAGCAGGGGTGCAGTAAGGGGTGACCAGGCCAGCAGAGGGGGGCAGTGAGGAGTGACCACACTGGTGTGGGGGGCAGATGGGGTGACCAGGCTGGCAGAGGTGGGGCATTTAGGGGTGACCAGGTTGGCAGAGGGGGCACTAAGGAACAACCAGGCTGGCGGCGGGTGGGGGGGGGCACAGTTAGGAGTGATCAATTTGGCAGGCAGAGGCAGTTAGGGGTTATCAGACTGGCAGGCAGGTGAGCAGTTAGGAACCAGCTGTTCTGGATTATGAGAGGGCTGTCCAACTTCCCCAAGGGGTCCCAGATTGGAGAGGGTCCAGGCTGGGCTGAACGGATCTCCCCCCCCCCCCCCCCCCCATGCACAAATTTTATGCACCGGGCCTCTAGTTCTATATAATAAAACCCTAATATGCAAATCAACCAAATGGCAGAATGACTGGTTGCTATGATGCTTACTGACCACCAGGGGGCAGACACTCAATGCAGGAGCTGCCTCCTGGTGGTCAGTAGGCTCCCACAGGGGGAATGCTGCTCAGCCAGAGCTGGCTTAGAGTTGCCGAGTGTAGCAGCGGTGGCTGAAGTGGGACTAAGTTGGCAGTCGGATATTGACTGAGAGGGTGCAGGCCAGGCTGAGAGACCCCTCCAGTGCATGAAGGTTGTGCACCGGGCCTCTAGTTTTTACATAAAAGGGACTGGATCAGGCATGCTGGAGTGTTTTAAGTGTAGTAGTTTTCTTTTTCTTTTTCTTTCTGTAACTGGCTGTGATCAATTAGTTGTCAGACACCACTGCACTCGGACCAGCCTCTTTTTCTTTCTGTATCCCTTAACTTTTTTTTTTTTTTAAATATATTTTATTAATTTTACACAGAGAGGAATTGAGAGGGACAGAGAGTTAGAAACATCGATGAGAGAGAATCATTGATCAGCTGCCTCTTGCACACCCCCTACTGGGGATGTGCCCGCAACCAAGGTACATGCCCTTGACCGGAATCGAACCTGGGACCTTTCAGTCCGCAGGCCGGCGCTCTATCCACTGAGCCAAACTGGTCCCGGCTGTATCCCTTAACTTTTTAAAGATTACTTCTGTTGACATGTATCCTACCCTATTCTCCATGCTCACTAACCATATTCATATTGCCAAATTAAAAAACAAATCTGCTTTAGGTGAGGAGAGACTTTTATCTGAAAGGATTATTGCAAGGTGTCCCCCCACACTGCAATAGTAGGAAGGAGACTATTCTATGACAGGAGGGAGTGGAACGAAAGGGTTCTTGATTGGACAGTAGATCAGAGACTGTCTTACCCCGAGGCAAACATGTTCTCAGGACAGGCCTAATAAGAAGGGGTTACATGCTGGCTCAGGCCTGGAGGGAGAAGAGGAATTTAACCAGTTTGATTAAGGTCAGGGGCTACAGGCAGTTCAGCTAATTATTTATAAGGCAAAGGACATAAACTTGGGAGGGTCAGTGTCTGGCTTTGTTCTGGTGACAAAGAGCACTTCTGGGTCTTACCTAAGTCGCACGGGGAATGCTGTACTTTGCAGTATGCCACTTCCAAGAACACAAAAATGTAGAAGTGTGAGCGGAGAAATGGCATCAGGTATTGCTGGCGGAGTTAGACCGGACCTGGGCTCAGCAACCTTGGTCCTTGGCTAAGAGCCAAGATTCAACTACAAGCAAAAGTTTATTTAGAAAGAGAGGTAGAGGTGAGCCATGGAAGAAGTGAGCCAGTTGGACTGTGTGGGCTCGGGAAACGAGTTACAGAGGCAAAAGAAGGACCCGTGGAGCTTAGGAGAGAGAAAGAAGGTTACAGATGCCTGGGGAGAGGAGAGTGGAGAGAGGCCCTCGTGGGCGTGGTCCTTCTGCTGAGGGCTTTTATCTGGAGGTCTCTACCTCAGTAGGACATTCATCAGCTTTCCAGGTGTGTCCCCTCAGGGTTCTGGTCTTCACTCTTGACTGGTCATGACCAGGGCAGATGGTCATTAGTAATGGGAAGTGGTCCCGATGTCAGCCATGGCGTTGCCCTGCCTTCGTGGTCGGCAAACAGTGGCTCGCGAGCCACACGCGGCTCTTTGGCCCCTTGAGGGTGGCTCTTCCACAAAATACCACGGCCTGGGGGAAGTCCATTTTGAAGAAGTGGCATTAGAAGAAGTTTAAGTTTAAAAACTTTGGCTCTCCAAAGAAATGTCAATCGTTGTACTGTTGGTATTTGGCTCTGTTGACTAATGAGTTTGCCGACCACGGCGGTACCTGACCTTGCTGCTTTTCTGGGCCCGCAGCAGAAACACAACGGAGGCCTACATGCGATCTCTAGAGCTTAGCACTTAAGGGAATGGTCCTGCAAGGGCTTGTGTGGGAATCGTATGAGGCTGCTCTCCAGTCCCATTTATACGTCCTCTAAGGGTCTGCTGTATGGCGGGCAACATGCCAGGGGAGGAAGGTCCGGGGGGATAAACCAGGTGTGTCCCCCCACATCTGGTCTGACCCCGCTGTCTTACACCTGGGGCCTCGGAGCACACCTTGCCTTTCCCTCTCCCCCTCCTAACACTTCCCTGTATCTTACCCTTCTCACTCATAAACAGCTAGAGAAAATCCTTTCAAGGTCTGGCGCAGCTCTTCTCCATTCTTTAAATGTCCTCATAATGTTTCACGATGTGGCTGTGAACCAGCACCAGAGGTTAGACCAATAGGATCACACCGCTCCTGGGCTCCGCAACCTTGGTACGTGAATTCTGGCTAGGAAAGAATTCAGAGCCAAGACTCCCACTATAAAATAACATTTATTTGTAAAACCACAGAGGTAGGCAGGCCCTTGCCGGTTTGGCTCAATGGACAGAGTATCTGCCTGCAGACTGAAGGGTGCAGGGTTCGAGTCTGGTCAAGGGCATATGCCCGGATTGCAGCTGGGTCCCAGGTTGGGGGAGGAGCTTGTGTGCAGGAGGCAGCCAATCAGTGATTCTCTCTCATCATTGATGCTTCTATCTCTCTCCCCCTTTCCCTTCCTCTTTGAAATCAATACAAGTGTATTAGTAAAATAAAATAAAACCACAGAGGTAGAATAAGTAATTTGTAGAAGAAATGAGCCTAGAAAACAAGTGAGAGAAGTGAAGGAAGGGGCCTTGGAGCTTGGGAGTGAGAAAGCTATGCCCGGTGGGAGGAGGAAGGGGGAGGGAGCACTGGGTCCTCGTCCTAAAGGTTTCAGGGTGGAGTCAGGAGAGGTCCCGGGGAAGGTCTTACTAAATTATTCAGCAGCTTTCCAGGTGTGTCCTTTCAGGGTCTAGGTCTCCACTGATTCAATCCATCAGCTCCAGGGCAGGGGGTCATTGTCCAATGCAGCAGGTCTTGAGGTCAGCCTTGGGGTGATTGGTCTGTTTCTGGGCCTGGAGCTGAACTAAGGCCTAGATGCTCTCTCTAGGGAGAAAAAGGCAGAGGGTCCAAACCGCATGACCAGCTATATGCTAGGGAGGAAAGGTCACCCTGGGGGCGAGTCCCGCCCTACAGCTGCCCTTTGCTAGGCCCCCGGGGGCTGTGTACCTGGTGACCTTCTGCGGCTGGCCAGTGGTCCTCGCTGTGCTCCTGTCTGTCTAACGGCTACCACAGATATACCATATTACTCAGTCATCTCTCTCTGGTGACCATGTTCCTCATTTTCATTTCCCCCCATCTCACTGCAACAATCAGAATAAAATCATGTCACTTAGACTCCGGGGTTCCTGGAGCTGCTACACTCGGGGCTTTTAAAGTTGCATTTCATTTTCCCCCCAAAATCTATTTTCTTTCTTAGAATCTCCTCGCAGAACAGTCCACCTGTTTGACTTTAGATTTATTTGGCTCCTCTCTCACTTCCACCTCCTCCCGCCTGGCCCCAGGGAGGAAGCGGTGGGGGGAACCTTGCTTTTGTCTTCCTGCTCCCCTTCCTCCAAGCAGCAGGTGCCCCCTGAGGTCCTGCCAGTGGGATCAGGAACGCGCGTGGGCCCGGCTCCTGCTCCCCCGGGTCCGCCGAAGCCTCGGAGGGAAGGCGTGGTCAGGCCCGGGCATCCTGGCCGCGCGCCAGGGTTGGCACTTGGCACGATCCCCTGGGCTGGCAGCTCCCAGACAACTGATCACAGAAAGGCCAGCCCAACACATCCCAGGGGAGGAAGGAGGCACACCACAAAGACACGTTTCCGGGATCCTTGCAAGACGTTACCTATGTTTTGTGTTTTTTTTTTTAAGAAAAATAAACCGAAGTAAAAGCGCCTTCAGTTGCTCTAGGTGGAAAACATGCGTCCTAATTAGTCAGGGGGCGGGGCCAGCCGGGTCTCTCCAGTTTGCAAAGTTCAGGCAGTCGCTGAACCGCGGCTTCCTAAGCGAGGACACGTGGCTCCACCGACCACGTCCCCCAACTCCGCGGCCCCGCTGCCCGGTGGAAAAGAGCGCCCTTTCCCGCCGCCGCCCCGGGCCGGGCTGCGATCTGCCAACAGCTCCCGCCGGGCCCGGGCGGACAGTTAATCATTGGCCGCGGGAGGGGCCGGCGCGGGCGGCGGGGACCGGGCGGGCGGGCGCGCTGAGCCCCGCCGGCCTCCCAGGCGCCGCCTCCCGTCTTCCGGGCCCGGGCGCATCTGGGGGTTCCGGGCGCGGACACCGCGGGCGCCCCGATGGAGGCAGCCCCGCCGGCGGGGCCCGGCGCCCCGCCATCCCAGCCGCAGCCGCAGGCGCAGGGACCCGCGGACCCCGTCGCTGCCCTGCTGCCCAGGCTGCGGGCCAAACTCTTCACCTGGTGAGTGGACGGGCGCGGGGGCGCGGGGCCGGGGCCGGGACCGGCTCGCAGGTGGCGGCGGAGCGCCCGGCGGGGACTTGGGGGCCGGTTCCGGGGAGACTCCACACGTGCACGGGGTTGCAGCGCTTCCTTCACCTGGCTTTGTGCAGCGCTTGGTGCTGCTCCCTCGTCCCTTCCTAGGAACCGCGGGAATGCATTTCAGAGGATTGGGGGTGGGGTGGGGTGTATGGGATAGTGGAGGGGGGCTGGGGGAGAGAAGGAGGAGGAATTCGCCCCGTTGGCACCGCTAGGTCGGTCCCGGGCCCCTCCCAGCCGGAGGGGCGAAGTCCCCGGGGAAGCCGTGCAGGGGGGGTGCCCACCCCGCGGCTTGGCAGGTGGCTGAGCTCCCCTCCCGGCGCCGGCGCGCGCACAGCTGCTGCAGCCGAGCCGTCCGACGGGCCGGGCGCCCGCCCTGCCAGGGGTGCCCCCAAGTGAGAAACCGGGGTGATGTGAGGTGGTGCCGCCCGGACGGACCGAGTCTTTAGCCTGCCTGAGCGAGGCGACACGGCCTCCTCCTCCTCCTCCTCCTCCTGGGCGGGGGCCAGGGAAGCCTGTGTCTGCTGTCACTGTGGGACACAGAGGTGTGCTGAGGGACCGAGGGAGGCTCTGGGACCCAGAAAGCATTTTCTGTGGCTGCCGGAGGGCTTGGATCTGGAAATAGAAACAGCCCAGGACCTAAATAATGAAAGCCAGCGATTATTGAGCCTTCTCTGGATCCAGTACCGTGCTTAGCAATTTAAGTGGATCATATCGACTCATCCCCAGGACTTCAGAGGAAGGCACTGTTGTTAGACCCACTGTGCAGATGGAGAAGGAATACAGAAGGACAGGCAATCTGCCCCAGGCCATGAGATGGACTCCAAGGCATGGTGCCCGGGAGCTCCAGCCCTCACTGAAGCCTCAACCACTCCTGCCCCTGGCGCCGCCCATGAACTGGCATTTGTCCTCCCCCCTACCTTCCCCTGCCAGGTTAACGAAGAGAATTTCAGCGCTCGCTTTGGAAGCACATGTACAAAGAGCGTTTCTCTTTAAAGATCGTGAACACGACGTCCTGGAAAGTCATACCATTTCCAAAAACTAGATCTATAGTGGATGGGTTTCGAGGGGAAAGTTGGCCAAAAATTACCTGGTACCAGGCCGCTGTATGTGTCCTGATAAACGTAACCACAGACGCTCAGCTGGGAGGCAGAGCACTGGCTTGGCGAAGGCCACAGATTCATGCCGGACTCACATCCTGTCTGTGCCGCTTACCAGTGGGGTGACTTTGGGCAAGTTGCTCAACTCCTCTGCCCCGGTTGTCTTTGTGAAATGGAGGCAGTGACAGTACCTGCTCGGGGATGCTGTGAGCATGGCGTGGCTGGCTGACATGGGCAGACAGCTGGCTCCTGCTGCCACTCGCCACACACCACCAGCCCTCCATCCATCCTCGGAGGCGCCAGCAGCCTGGATGTGGGGGCACACAGTATGACAGCTGTCGTTGCTAACAAGGTTTAGCAATGTCTTTTCTCTTAACGGTCTAATATTTAAAAAATCCTGGTATGCTTTACAGTCAGGAATACCTACTAGCTTCCTAACTATGAGATTTCTTCTGCCTTTGAACACACTGCTTTTGTATCTCTCTTGTGGGTCTTTACTTTCTTCCTTATGTGATAGCTGATGGGCAAAGTCCTTAACAGCAGAATCAAGTCCTTTTTCATTTCGGTATTTCCCACAAGCCTTAGCACAGAAGTGAGTGAAGGGATGAGAGATCCCATTCTGACACACACCCTGTCCTCTTCCCTCTGTTGGTCCTATTTATGCTGAGGGTCTTGGGCAGGAGCCTTTCTTGGGTTGGCAGAGCTGTTCAGTTCACTACGGGTTTCAGTCTTTTTTTTTTTTTTTTTTTTTTTTTTTAATATATATTTCATTGACCCCAGAGAGGAAGGGAGAGGGAGAGAGAGATAGAAACATCAATGATGAGAGAGAATAATTGATCGGCCGCCTCCTGCATGCCCCCACTGGGGATGGAGCCTGCAACCCAGGCATGTGCCCTTGGCTGGAATTCAACCTGAGACCCCTCAATCTGCAGGCTGATGCTTTATCCACTGAGCCAAACCAGCTAGGGCACTGGTTTCAGTCTTACCTATGTCAACCAGACACTCGATTCTGGTTTGTAGTTTCTCCTTGCCTTAGCCAGCAATCAGAAAAGTGCAGTTTACCAGATATCAGCACTCCTTATATTCAATATTTTAAACTCTCAGTATTAAAATTTACCTCCCAACTTTGAGTTTAGCTGCATGAATCACTAACTGTGGCCAGGGGCTCATGAGGGTTGGAGAGGGGTTGGTGAGTTAGATGTGTTATCATCAGATGGATAGGCTATAGATCAGGGGTCCTCAAACTTTTTAAAGTGGGGGCCAGATCACGGTCCCTCAGAGAGCTGGAGGGCCGGACTATATGAACTACTAATTCCTACTGTAACACCTCGGCTGCGCTCACTGCCCAAAAAACCTGGCGGGCCGGATCAGACTCCTCTGCGGGCCGCATGTGGCCCGAGGGCCCTAGTTTGAAGACGCCTGCTAGATGGATAGTTTGTGATCACACAACCCTTTCCTACTCTTATACCAAAGTGGGATAAGAGTAGCTTAGAAACGGTCCTAAATACAGGGGAAAAGTTTGGGGCCTAGAGCTGGTTCCGTTTTCATTATGGGAGTTGTATATTTTAGGTAACCCCATCTACTGATATGCCTGCCTTACTAGCATTACAGAAAATTTCTCTACCATTAAGAATATCAGGCCTGGCTGGTGTGGCTCAGTTGAGCATTGTCCCATGCACCAGTAAGTTGCTGGTTTGATACTGATGTTTCTCTCTCTCTCCAAAATCAATAATAATAAAAAAAGATTACTGCCCTGGCCAGTGTTTCTCAGTGGTTAGGGTGTTGGCCTGTGCACAGAAGGGTCGTGGGTTCAACTCCCAGTCAAGGGCACACACCTGGGTTTCAGGTTTAATCCCCCACCCCTACATGCAGTAGACAATCAATTGATGTTGTGTTTCTTTTCTCTCCCTACCTCTCCCTCCCTCCCTTGTACTCTCTCTAAAAATCAATGGGAAAAATATCCTCGGGTGAGAATTAACAAACAAACAAAAGAATTCAGATCACTCATTCAATAAAAGTTTATGAGTAATTACTATGTGTCAGGTATCCTATATAATAAAAGCCTAATATGCTAAGTGTCTGACCGTTTGACCAGTCACTATGATGCGCACCAGGGGGCAGACACTCTGACCTGTTAGCTTGCTGCTGGGGTCCGGCCAATCAGAATTGGGCGAGAATGGCTGGACATGCCTTGGAGTCCTTCTGCAGTCTCTCCCTGGCCAGCCAACCTCCATGGTCCCTCCCCGGCCAGCTGGCCCTTATCGGCCCCAATCAGTTCCAAGCTGATAAGATGGCCTCGATTGGCCCGATCAGGACTGGGTCAGACAGGTCAGACATGCTCTGAAGCCCTTCCACAGTCCCTCCCTAGCCCTGATCGTGTACCAGTGGGGTCCCGCTGTCTGGCCTGTGCCCTCTCGTAATCTGGGTCCCTTTGGGGGATGTCAGAAAGCTGGTTTCGGCCTGATCCCCGCAGGCCAGGCCGAGGGATCCCACAGGTGCACAATTCTGTACACCAGGCCTCTAGTTTATAATAAGGACAATTATGTTTCCAAGTGGACTATACCTTTAATTTTGCTTTTTGTTATTTAGTGTTATGAACTCAAATGACAAATACTCTAGTAGGAGGATATAGGTTTCTAGAAGTACCTAAAGTCTTATTTCATTGTGTGCCATCTAACAGTTTACATTCTAATACCTTATTCCAATTTGTACATAAAAAATGTGTATTCCTTATAATGAATATCGAATTTATATTTCTAGCAAAAATCTTTAATTATTATTTGATATATTTATCCTTTCCCATTGAATAAATGGTAAGCTTTTTGAGGTAATAAATTTTACCCTATTCTTTTTGTGGCACAGTACTGGACATGTGTTCCTTCATTCATTTATTCATTCATTTATTCATTCATTCCTTCATTCTTTCATTCACCAAACTTTGAGTATCTATCAATATTATGCTATAGGTTCTAGATTAGTCTTTGGGCTACAGAGATGAATAGGATTTGGTTCCTGTTCCCAAAAACTCATACTCCAATTATGGTAAGAAGTTATGATAGGTGCTTTAGAGGTGAGCACAAGATACAGAAAGTACAAACAAATGCAGAGAGGTCAGGCTGGGGAGCTCAACAGAGAAGGTGGTCAGGATTTTGAAGCACAAAAAAGAGGTTTCCAGGTGGACTAGGTGAGGAAGGGCACCCCGGGCTTGGAGGTGCTAGAGTCTTTCTCAAGGGGCTGCAAGGAGCTTGGGGGCAAAGGGGCATGAGCTTGAGGAGGAATGAACAATAGTTGTCTGTGAATCTTCACGGGCACTCCTTGTTATTGTCTAGCAAAGGGCCTGGCCCTCTCTGATCTCCAAAATCCATTTTAAAAATTATTGCATAAAAGTCCAACTATAAAATGGGCAAAGTAACAGACCCAGGGAGTGCCCAAAGCCGCCAGAAGCCCACCAGCAACTACTCCCCGCCTTGCCCCCATAACGAACCCGAGGAACCTCCAGAGAACCCAAAGAACTCCCCCAGTCTGCAGACCACTGGTGAGGTGACGGGAGGAGCGGAAATGCTTTGGCCTGAACAAGAAGCAGTGAGATTTCTGAAATAGTAAAGCGGGCCTGGTTTTCAGAATCAAAGAGCGATCTCAGTGTTGCCTCTGGCCAGCCATGTGCCCGAGGGCAAGTGACCTATCTGCTGCCCAAAGGACTGAGAACACTATTTTCATACGATTGTCTAGGACTGATGAAATATGAGTGGAATGCCCACCACAGGGAGAATTCTCACTTGGTGGCAGCTGTGGAGCCCTTTGCTTTTATTTGCCATCACGCTGGTT